CATATACCTATGGGGGCCCATCGGTTGCTTGAGGGGGGGGGGGGCAAATGATATGATGGCCCCCTTTATGTGCCTTGGGAGGGCATGGCCCTGATGCCCCCCGCGACCGCGACTGTGTACACATTACATACAGGCCTCTGAAATTACATACTAGCTAATCCAAACTCTATGCAGGCCCCTAAGATCCCACGCTAATCCTTAAGAAACCAAGCCGGCATACGGCGTCACCACCGGGCTTCTGAGGTGCACAGCACCAACCCATGAGGTCTTACTTTAGTGTCTTAGAGCCACGCTCCTTTGGCAGGGCCCACCCGCCACTGCCGAAGAGGTCTCATGCCTGCCATTGCTGGGCCTACGAGAGCCTCAAGTAAACCCACGCTGATATTCCATGTAAGATGCGGCCATACTCGTGAACCGGTGCCAGCGACGCTGACCGCCAAATTGACAGAAGGGGCATTCCACGTCAAATCGAACAAAAATCGGCTGTTTTGCACCTTACCATCAGCGATTTTATTATAAATTTGTGAGCGAGTTCCTGTGTGGCCCCGGACATTACATTGATGTTTTTTGCACATTCTGACCACAGGTCTTCTAAATATAGGGCATCAAATTTTTACAAAATGTTGCATCTTTATATTTTTGAACGACCATAACTTTGGTTGTACTTGTTTGATTTGAATGAAATAAACCTTACTATTTAGGTAATTTCTTAAGCATTTGTTTAGAATTGCACCTAATTAAATATATGACCTTGAAATTTGCTTAACTCTGTTCTTAAGCACAAATATTAAAATAGCAAAAAACACGTCACCTTCGATTTGGCTCATTTTCATATATTTTATTGCCTACCATATTCTTAACAACCTGTGAAAAAATTAGAGTGGGCCATTCATAAGTTTTGAAGAAAATTGCACATATGCAAACGTATGTTAGCACGCGCAGTGGAGGGGGAAGAGCGAATTTCGCCCACCCCTCCTGTTTTTCGCCAATATCTCATAAGATTAATGCGAAATTAATTATGGCTACCTGTCAAGAATTGAATTGGACATCTCATCGTGCAAACAATAAGAAAATCGGTTCACAACTGTTCTAGTAATAGCGGTGTAAAGTGAACATCCTGTCGCCGCAGCGACGCGGCGACTCGGCAGCCGGCGCCGACCGCTACGCGCCGCCTGAATTGTAGACTGTGCCGGGACGGAACGGAACGGTTCCGTCTTTACATCGCGCTCCCTACCGCTGATTACATTCGATTCGCGTCAAATTTTGTGAGAAGACTAAGAAATGTACAGGCAATCTTATGGTGAAAGAATTTTGAAAATCGGTTGGTAAACAATTGAAATATGAACGTGTAAACACAAAATTGTGATTGCTTTGTTTCCCGCATCGGCCGAGCCCGCCTCAGCCGGCGACATGTTACTCTTAGCAGGCCTCTAACTGCCATATTTATTATTGGATTAACTAGAAATTCCCCATTCATACTAAAAAATGTATGTTCTTTCGTATAGTGAAGATCAAAAGACGTGAAGATATCGTTGCGTGATAATGTTTTCGTTGAATTTACTTCATGATGCATTTCCACACGGCTCAAAATTCACCGCAAAATACCGTTTGCCTGAGACACTTTTACTATGGAACGTGAATGCTTGACTACGATGACTATGCATTTCCATTCTCGCAGAGTTTGGGATATCACTAATCAGCAATCATTCATTTCAGAAAGTGTGCACAAGCAAGCATGTCTTGACGCTGTCTTTCAAGGTCACGCGCGGTTGCGTGATGTTGATGCATGAAAACAGCGTTTGCCGCGAAAGTTATGAATGGCCCACTCCAATTTTTTCACAGATGGTTAGGAACATTGTGACGGACATAATATGTAAAAATTACCCAAATCGAAGGTGACGTGTTTTTTGCTATTTAAATTTTTCTGTTTTAATTCAAGGTCAAATGCATTTCAAGGTCACTTCAATTTAATTTTATAATTAAAAATCAAAGCCTTATCAATTGCCTATAAGACCCTGTTAATATCATTTTGATACCAGAAAAGGAACCAGAGTTATAGCCATTTAAAAAATTGATGTGTGGCATTTTTCGCTATATTCGATGACCTATATCTCAGCAATACGTTATCAAATTTCGAAAATATTATACGTAACTCAGTTTTGAACCATGCCCAGTCTGCCTACAAATTTTCAGAAAAATCGAAGGGGATGACGGATTTCGGTGTTTGATTTGACGTGGAATGCCCCAGAATACGAAACTGAGCCCACTCATGAGTGAAATTTACGTCCTTTGATGGCGCAAGAAAGAAAATGAAACATACAAAAAGCTTTTCTAGGACTTTTGTTCGATCTGAAAGGTGGGGCCAAAAGATAGTATGGCCCCACCTTTCAGCACCAAAGGGGGGGCCATGGCCCCCGTGGCCCCCCCCCCTGGGACCGCCAGTGTCTCCTCGTTAGTATAGTGGTGAGTATCCCCGCCTGTCACGCGGGAGACCGTGGTTCGATTCCCCGACGGGGAGCTTTTGGTGGTTATTTAGGTCACTCCCCCCTTCTGCCCTTTTTTCTGTCTTATCAACTCGCTTACGACCGATAGCGTCTCCGACCCACCCCGGTCCCTCGCCGACCTGACGCGCCTCTGCACTATTTCCCGATCTGACCGCCCTCGCTCCTTGGTGACCTGACCTGACCCTTGCCCCCTCCGCTGGCAGACCTGTATGAAGAGGATGAGGACGAGCCAGCGCCGCCGTATATGCCGATCCAGGGCCAGCGGCGCACCAACTCCATGGAGAAGGCGCGCCGGCGCCGCGGTAAAGATGGAGCCAACTGTAAGCAGCAGTGATCGCGGCAGCTCGTCAAATATTGAAGGAATGAGAGGTGTCTCCACCGCATAGCCCCTGTGATGAAGACGGGGCTGACACTGGGATTGAAAACTAGGTGACGCAAATGTATATGTATATTCTCAACCACGAACACACGGTTCACAGGGACCAGTATTTGCGCTTGGTATTGCGGCTTTTGCCGAGTGCCAGTGAGGGCTTTACTCGTATTACATTTATCTCAAACGTATGGATCTGCAAGGAAGATCATGGTATAGATAATCATGTAGTCGATAAGTAGGGTAGTTTTATAATATATGTCACGACTCACGTGATCAGTCTTACATCACGCCGAACTACATGTCGAATGCTTCCATAACCAATCCGTCCTACCATACTCTAGGCCGCAGAACTAAATGGAGTTCGTTTTGGAGCGACGTGTCATCGTTATTCGTTGGACCAAATGCTGATAATCCATTGCTCACTGCAATGAAACACTCAAGCTCAAATATGGCGACCAAATGTGAACAAATCTGTATCGTGAATCTATATGTTTTGTAGATCTTTTGAATGTCGAGCTGTCTTTACCCGTTTTTCACTACGATGTATGAATCTCATGTTATCGTAACTTTTCTACTTTTCTTAATTGGGAGCTGGCGGCTGTATTATTAATATTATCACGCTTATGTCGAAGTTATTGATGTCCTTGTATCGCAGCACTGTGTTGAACGCGCGGGGGGATAGCAGTGAGGCGTTGGGTGTGTCTGTTTGCATGGTGAATGGCAAATGTGTGTGATATTTGCGGTGGGGTTAGGAGTCTGGCAATGTTTTGATTGGTGCGTGTTGGGAACGATCGGCTTTGGATGCTGCTTTCGGAGGTAGTGGATCGTACCGGTGGGCCGCTGTGGTTCACGGTTTGTTGTTTCACGCTGAGAGTGTATTGTGACGGCCTTTCTGCTCTATGTGAGACGTGAGTTGTTTGGCCGACATGGTCTGCCGGAGATGTGTAATATTAGCGTGCTGTGCTGGATTGAAGTGAACAGGGGAACAACACATTCTGTGACAATGCCCGGGTGAAGGCCTGTGATTGTGATACTCTGCTGAGTGGCCCGGGTACCAGGATCGGTCCCGTTTCTCCATTCTGGAGACACCTCACTGCTGCACGAGACTCGCCGGCTGTTGTTTGGTGACTTATATCCAATCATCGCAGTGACCGGTTGTACGCGGGCGTCAGAAGCAAGCACCTCACTGGGCGGCGTGGGGTGCACCACAGAAGGGGACCACACGCACCGGTGTGCTACTGTTAGCGGGATGTGTGACCGGTGGCTTGACGGCGCACGAACTACCGGACTGTCCGCACTCCCAGCCCACTGCTGGTTATCTGGTGTAGCCTCGCTCGCCGATGTCTTGTAACACTTATCTGACGCCTCTCCCACCAGACTCATACTCTGAGCTGGGCTGAAGAGCGAGTGGCTCCGGTCCACCTGTACTGCGGAAATGATTGGTGACCGGTTGTGCTGCTCCGGTCTGAGGCTGGTCACTCTTGGACTCGGCAGCGCCCAGCGGTGGCTCGCGGAGGCTTTCTTGGCTCGTGGTGGCCCTTGATTGATGATGCTGATCTGTGTCCAATTTGGCCGAATCTGTTCCACCATGCTCACATATATATTACAGCAATATAAGCTAAACGATGGTGTCAGGTGTGTTTACGTTACGCTGTTACTTCACATGTAGGAGAATGAGATTCATACATATGAAATGCTTCAGAAAGTGCCGAAGAAGTGATGGCACTTCGCGGACGAAACCGACGAAACTACCCGACTGATAAGTGTCCGTGCGGTTTGATGGTCACCTCGGTCACCTCTTTGCCAGGAGCGTTCGTTTCTCGCCTACTAAATACTACAAAGCAAGGTATATAAAAACATTAGGCATTTTGCTAAGAACTTTGATACCTATGCCTTGTGGTAAGTAAAAATCACGGTAACTATAAATGGTAAAAAGCTGTGCTAAGAAGGCTAAAATAAATATATAGACTATACTGGGTAAAAATATAAAATACATAAACAAAAAAATATACTCTGCAAAAAGGCTAAAAATTATGCATACCACGCCTACCCACTACCCAGTGAAAATTACTTTAGCTATTTTGCAGTGCTTTAGAGCTAAAAGATATGGCCTTGGCTAAAAGAGTCGCTGCCTCGATTTCGCCGGCACCGCCGCCGTTTGTAAAAATTTGAATGACTTCATTTTGATTTCGTTTATATTTGGGTTATATGACTTTGTTGATTTCCTTGTCATTTCCTTGGTCATTTCGGAGTTATACAGCCTTGGTTATTTCCTTCATTTCGAAATTCATTCACTGCAACTGAAGAGGTGAGTTTGAGAGGATACTTTTCGTCTCGAATTGCATTTTTGTCGTCTAGCAGTTTTTCGTCCGCCATTTTTTGTGTCTATGATTTTGTTTGTGCATTTTCGTCTATGCTGGGCGTGTTTTTGTTTGTGTTAGCCTCTCAGGCTTCAGACTGGAAACCCAAGATTCCTATAGATATTGATATAGGGAAAATCATTTGAAATTTCAAAATGTCCGGCATAACAAGCACATTGCGCCAAACTTTCAGCACCACGTCCAGCGGAACACGCCGTGCCCCAAAGTTTCCGGCGCATTGATGGTCCTCGAAATGTTGGGCAAGTTGACGATTTCAGAAAGTTCTGCACAAGAAGATGGAAACTAACATTGCTATAACTTCATTTGCTACTCTTGATATTAAAATTGCCCACGATCCATAACCCACTGAAGCAAACCCACATATATCAGACGTGATTCCAGAAGGCTGTTCGGCTGCGCAGCCAAAATGAAATATGCTGCAGCACGCATGCGCAGTGAAGGCTATGTCACCTGTTAGTCCCGCCCACACCATTGCATCATCGCCTGTGTGACGTCACCTACTGAAACATAATTTGTTTTCCTGCAGCCGGAAATTTGCTGCTGCAGAAGGCGAAAGCGGCGCGGATTAAAGTTTACCGTCCAATATTTCTTATTGTAGGCGGCTTGTATGACATATGTTGTTTTTTGGGGTATCATTAGCACTCTTTTCAAATGAGAGTATAAAACCCTAGAAGCACAATAATGTTGATTCAACATAGAATCAACATTGGTGTAAATGTTTTATCAATGTTGTGCTGTTAGCCACAGTTGACCTGATCTCGATGAGAAAATCAAATACAACACAAAATCAACGCGAACTCGATAATAGATTGATGTCAAAATCCTCAATGTTGACAATCAACCTGGAGTCCTGGATTCAACCAATTATAACACAAAGTAAACGTGAAATCAATGCTGGATTGATGTCAAAAGTTGGTTGATCCTCAGTGTTCACAATCAACCTAGATTCAGCCAATTTTAATGTTGAAATCAATATTGTGTGCTACTAGGGGAGTGCCCACCAATGACAGCGGCCTCAGATGATTGGGACTTACACAGGTACAGGCTGGGATGATTGATTGCTGGGCTCCTGACCGCTGAAGTAGTGTCTCTGTCTGCAGTGAGCTGTACCCGAGTGAGGCGACTGGCTAGTGAGCTGTCCTTCAGTGGGGTTTCACTTCACAGGAGCCAGAGCCCAGGGCTCGAGAAGACTGATAATTAGACTGAAGGGACCGCCTGGGGGGGGGAGGTAGCGTGTTCAGCTGAGGCAGCTGAAGAGATACACAAAAGGATTGCATGCAGTACAGTATGATGTCGATGTTTGAAGCCGGTGTCCCAAAGTGTGTCGATTGGGGTGGGAAACTACATCCAAATAAAAATCATTTTTCACTCTCATCTCTAATTTTTAAGAACAATTTTCCACTCCCAATTTTACCGTCAAAAAACATTTGCATCTGTGATCAAAACTAGCATGATATTCGTGATCAGCATCCCGAAAAACTCCATAGCAGCCACACTTAACGACGTTCTAACAGGTCCCAATATTTCCGACTTTTGGGTCATTGACCTGACCTGGACCTGGACCTGGAAGGTCAACCAATGACCTATGATCTTAAAATTGGGTATCATCGGCTTCCTCTCGTTACGGGCAATACCCTCTCCCCCCGCCCCCCCCCCGTTATACGTTCGCGGCTGGAAAAACACCAGTACGGGTGAGCGATATGTTAGGTTCTTGTGCAGGTCAGGTTAGGTTAGGTTATGTCAAGTTCATTTATTCTGGTTGAAAAAGCCGTACAAAGAGTTTATTGAAAACACTGCATCAAATCAATCACAATGGTCCGCCCGGACTAAAAAAGAAACTATGTAGTGAGCAGCACAATGCGCGACTGTTTGGTTTGATGCCTTTTTGAAATTTTCTAATGTTTAATCACCAGATGGAGACTACAGATGGATTGGGGATGTCCAAGACTCGAGAAATAGATTCCCAGAAAAGTCTGAAAGGTCTGAAGGTGATCCTGTTTGGAGACAAGAAAGTGTTGCCAATGGGCATCGCAGCGAGATCGCTAGGCGATCTGATCAACAAGGCCTGCGCCAGGTTCAAGGTGGGTGATTTTTTTTTAGAGTGTCAATGATGTTTCGAGAAACCGTTTACCCAACGTTAAATCCTGAAAGGTCCCTGCTGCAGCTGGGGTCAGTTACTTGCAATTGATAAGTTAGTTGGTATGTACATTTGTTACTTTGAATGCAAAGACCCGCAAGACCTGTACATTTGTTACTTTGAATGCAGCATCAATCATTAGAATCATTACAAGCGAGCGAGCGCAGCGAGCGAAGTGAGTCTTTTCAATATAACGGAAAAATCTCAGTATGAGCGGCCCGGCCTGGCCCGGCCCGGCCCGGCCTGTAACCTTTTGAGAGGCTTATATCTCAGCAACCGCTGGACCGATTGGCCTGCGGTCTTTTTTGTTGGGTAGCCCCATCCCTTCTACCCCGTAATTGACTACTTTTGATACATCTCAGTGACCGTCGTGGCACGTGCCACGTGAAAAGTCAGGGGTGTTCAAGCTGTTTTGCAAAAGTATTGATTTTGAGAGGCTCATATCTCAGCAGCCTCTTGGGCGATTGACTTGCGGTAATTTTTGTAGGGTAGCAGCATCCCTTCTACCCAAAATAGGATACTCTCGATGTATGTGGGTCACCCCCAGTGCACGTGCAAAATACAACAATAAGAGGTGCCAAATTTGTTCCCATTTCAGTAACTCGGTAATTACTGGGGCGATTTCGCTGAAACTTGGCATACAGGTAGGCACCCACCAGGCATTGCATTCCCATGTGTTGCTGTTAGGGTGCTACTGCACGTGCGCACGTGCAGGGGGCGTTTCCAGATCTCGAGAACGACTGGGCCGATTGCGCTCAAACTTGGTACACGGTTGGGGACCAGTTAGTAGGGTGCCGTGCAAAAGTCATTTTGGACCCCATTTGCACGTGCGCACATGCAGAATGCCGCTTCCAGATCTCAGGAACGGCTGGGCCGATTGCGTTCAAATTTGGCACACCGCTAGCGACCGGTTAGAAGGGTGCACAAGCCCGTTGGAAGCACCCTCTCGCCCTTCCGCACGTGCAGGGCTCACAATCTCGCTCGCTCGTTCTTCGCCCAAAAGGCGTTTTACTGGTAGTATTATCCATGCTTTGTTGAGTAGTGAGATGCAAAGACTTCCTTTTTTAAAGTCACTCGGTAATTATTACCTACCGCTGGCTTCTGCCCCTGACTTTGCACTGAGTACTGAGTAGTGGCAGGTGATAAATGACAATCTGTTCGTTGTTCCAGATCAGCAGGAAGGGTGTGAAGATATGCCTTCCAGATGGCACCCAGGTAGATACTGACGACTATTTTGACACACTTGAGAAGCAAAGCATGGTCATCCTGCTCCGGCCTGGAGATTCCCTACACCAAGCTCCAGGTCAGTGCCACCAAAGAACAGACTTGTAAATTGGTGAGTATATTCAGTTCCCAGCAAATGCAAAGGCACAACCAGTGCATACTTTGTCGGCGTCCAGGCCTCTCCATCACAGCTGCCTGCTGGCACTGTCTCACTGTCCTTCTCCCTGACACCCTTGACTCTCTCCCCGCCAGTGGTGCGGCTGGTGGAGAAGCTGCTCGCCCTCTCCTCCACTCAGCGGCTGCGTGAAGAGCTGCTGGAGGTGCTGCGGGGACCGGACGGTCCGCTGCGGGCTGACCCGCCTAGTCCTGGCCAGCCGGACCAGAGTCGGCGCAGTCAGCGCACTGATGACCCCGCCTGGTTCGAGGGTAAGCTGTGCCGCTGGAGGGACTTAGTCAGCAACTTTCGAAACATGTACCTAATGGTGACTGGTTGTCAGTTTATGTTGGCCTTTGTTACCTATGCTGAGACCTCATGTGTTTTGGTTAACCAGAGTAAGTGCATCTTCAGACTGTATCGTGTTGTATTCATTTACCATTGACAGTTGTCACCACCATCAGTTAGATGGCACTATGTTACTACTTACTAGAACAGGTGGCTGACCTAACTGTCCCCTGTCTCGCGGCAGGTCTCGACACAGGCGCCACCACCAAGGAGGAGTACATGCGGCGGCGCTGTGAGTCGCGCGTGCGCACCTACTTTTACAAGTCGCGTGACCAGGTGCGCGGAGACCGCTCTGCGCCGCTGGCCGTGCTGGAGCCGCTGCTGGACGAGATGATGCAACAGCTGAAGCAGGACCGCTTCAACGGCCACTACTTTGACCGCTCCTCGCTGCTGAAGAGTGGTCGACTGTGTGACGATGAGGGGGAGTTTGAGTGTCAGGGCCTGTTCTCCAAGAGCCAGTGTGGCTATGATGAGCACCGGATTAATCCGTACAGAAGCCGGGAGGATCGGATCGTGTTCTCCACATGGAACCTCGACCACAGGTGAGTTTCGGTGGATAAGCGGATTGAGACGGTGCCTTATTTGGGCTGTGGGGATAGGAAACATTGAATTATGAGTTTGGGGAAGATAATATAAAAAACGTATCGGAAATGTATTGGAGGTATTGTGACGTTTTTTGGTTGATAAGTAAGCTACTGTTTATTTTGGCGTTTTTTTTTTTTTTGTTGAATGTGACTATACTATAGGCAATCTTGAGCAGAAGTGCTATTCATGTCGCTTAGATACGACACTTCCGTTGCGACTGCGTGAGAAATTGCAATTCAGCAAAATCATCTCATATATGCAATCAATCATTGTCTCAACGCCATTGCCGACCTCCCCTCGCTTCCTATCGCCACTTGTGGGGGGGGGGGGGGGGGCAGGCGGGTAAGGGAGGAGCGGCCGGCCGCGTCAGACGCCGGGCCGCCAGCTGATTGGTCGGCTCAGGGGACTGCCGCCCGAGGCAATCGGGCCAGCGGGCGCTGACCTCACCCGAACCAGACGTCCAGTCTGCTCTGGTCTGGAGTGGGTCGCGCGCGTTCAGTGATCAACGGCAGTGCAGTGTGCTAAAAGACTCATTATTCACAACTTTAACTACGACTGCTTTAATGCCACTACTCGTGGTGTCCTGAGAGTCCTGGCTTGAAATTTTCCGATAAAACATTTTGTACATACTGTTACTCTTAGCAATCGCTGAAAGTTTCAAGGCGATCGTTCAGTCGGTGTAGCTATGGCGAGGATTGAGTTTTTTTTTTTCTAAGGTGAGGTCACTTGACGTGGCTTGGTGACCTGACCTTGAGAGCCCTGGCTCTGAAATTTTTACGTGTGCGGAAAAGATGCATGAACAGGTGTGCCAAAAACGGCGGCGCAGAGCGTCGCCGTTTTTGAGATCTGCGAAAATACGCAAGGGGGCGTTCAAACACCCCCGGCCCGGCGCGGGTTAATACCGTCCTTCCATCCATAGCCCCGACCTGAACTTTCTGTCGTCTCTCGGCAGGATCGAGCGCTCTCGGACCATCCTGCCCGACCTGGTGAAGGCCGCGCGGGGGGCCGGCCGGCGCCGGGTCAACTGGCGCTACTTCTACCGACTGCTCTTCACCACCGACAACCTGCGGCTGGTGCACATCGTCTGCCACGACAAGGGCTCCCACGACCGGTACCAGTGCGACCAGAGCCAAGTGTATGTACGCTGACACCCCTGCGACTGCCGCGCCAACAGTGGCACTCTTCCCACCAGGCTAGTCTCTGGTGTCTCCGCATTTACATATTAATGATAGATTTTCACTATGGATCGAGGTCGGCGTTGATTCCAGATGATGCTTTCAATGAAGTGCCTATTGATTATGGCAGGGGAGGGAGTGATCATTTATTGTGATATCTTAGTGTGGCTTTCAGCTTCAGTAGTGTAGTGCGCTTTCGTATCTAGAAGTAGTTGTGCATGGCCGGGATGGCATCCACGAGTCTGCGTCGTTTTTCGCCTCTTAGTGGTTCGGGCGGCTTAAAGGCATACAGCCACCCGACTGCCGCATAGGATGATGGACATAGGAATGGTTACATGGAAACGGTTGACATTTGTGACGCATTCGGTCTCCGTTACAAAACATTCCCTGTGTGATAGAGAAAATCCACGATCCTTTTAATTCAGATGCTTCCAAATCCTTGGACTAATGACGTTATATATGGTATGCCGTCATAGGATCTTAAAAACATGTTAGTTTTATTATTTAACGCATTTCTAAGAAAAATAGTCGTTTCTGGGCTATCTTGAGTCGACCTCCTGATTTCCTTTCGCATAATTTCCCAGAAAACAAGACTCCTTTGCTTTTTGCGAAAGCATGTCCAAGTTCGCAAAAATTCAAACAGTAAACACTCAAGCGCCGGAAGCGCCGATAGTCCCCCCCCCCCAAAAAAACACACACACACACAAAGAAGGCCACAAATTGTTCTCGTCGGTCCTGCCTCTCGCAGGCCGCCTCGCACCCCGGTGCTGAAAGGCCACGTATGGGTTAGCTCGGATGAAGTTTGCATTCCTTCAACGGGAACCGCTCCGCCTGGGCGGGTGACGTCACAATGCGCTGAGCACGTCGAAGAACCAGGAATTCGTGATGACTAGAGATCGGATTTTTTGTGATTTTTTCGCCGAAATATGCCATTTTCATGTTTGAAATTATGGCAAAAAAAATGTGGCCAAATCCTCAAAATATGTGAATTGGAGCACACTTCAACCTGCGTAATCAGTCTGTTTTTATGCGACTTAAAACTTCCTTTTTCACTGACAATTGCTCACGCTTCATTCTGGACAGACCGATCCATAGACCACTATATACCGATCGTATAAAGAACAGCTTGGAGACCATAATATGCGACAGATTTTCTTCGTGAAGCGTCGTCTTTTGTCCGGTATCGCGGTATAGGACGACCTCTCGATGTCAACACTAGTGACCGACGGGTATCTGAAGCAGGCCATGCCAGCTTTCACAACTCAATGTTTTGCATGTCCGTTAGCCTCGGCACGACGGCCTCAGCACTTCATGTCCCCTCTCAGTACGTCACAGTCTATTTCCGTGCAATCGAGGGTGGCCCTGGTGTCCTGAAATTTCGAAAAGCACTCAGGGGTCGAAGTTTGATTCTTCCTCACGGGTTGCATTCCACCACAATGCAACGCACCCAGGATTTGGTGCACTGCAGACACCATAGTGCGGAATACAGTGGCGAGGGCGACACATGTCTCTGAGACACCAAACCTCACCGCCAGATCTAAATTCATCGGGTTGTGACGCAGCTTATACAACATCAGCATGAGCTGATCTTCCAGCTTCAGCTTCTCTACCTTCCACCCAGGCACACACTGAATGCCTGCCTTTTCCAAACACTTAACCAGTAATTGAAAAGCTTCAGTAGGAAAGGAACACCTGTGTAGAATACCACCAGGGTCGGAGTTCCCTCGATCTGAGCAATAGTAAGTCTTCTCGACTCGTAATCAAGGCTAGCCCTATCAACTTCTTCCAAGTAACCCGGCGATGGTAACCTCCTTGTTGGATCTTTGAATCACCCACGGGCGAAACGGTCGTCGATTATGAGTCTGAAACTGACAAAATTAATTATCACCGTAACGGTGGGGAATTGATAACACTACATATTGGAAATTGGCGTGAAAATATATTGCGGTACAACGTAGCGTAGTCACTGTAGACGAAGTATCGCTCAGACGCCTTCGACTTGGCATGTAGGCTTCTGAGAAACAAAGAAAATCCTGATTGATAACGCCAATCACATCAACAGAGCAGGAAAACCCAAATTCACACGACTCATAGCATTTTAACAACTCAAACTCCTTACCAAAGTAAGCCCGACCGTCTTAGAAAAGGCCCAGACCAAAGACCATGCCGGTATTTTCCGACTCGGACCACACCCTTCTGCCTTCGAACGATCAGCTGCTTGCATGAAAAATCCAGCTGATAGCGTGACACTTTCAGTTACGCTCTCAGCCGTCGGCGCCACCAGACAGAGTACCCACGCCATCTAGTGTCATGCGGCAGCACTCTCCCTCAGTCGTACTCGGGTTGGTACGCAGCTGGCGCCACACGAGCAACGTGCCACCGAGAATAACTGCTTCGCTCGTCACACAAATGTTTATTGATATGAAAATTAGACTGAACTAAGATAATTTAGTTGTTGCAAGCACGCAGAATATGAGACCTCCGTCGCACATTGCCCACGGCTCAACAGCAGGATGATTGTGCTATTCACTTGCCCCAGGCTCAATATGAAGAATACCGCCGTGGGCCCGCGGCGTAGCGGCGGCTTTCCCATGTAGCGCTCGATCGTGGCGTCGATCACGTCAACTCCGCCCATTGTTGCGTTGTAATACAGCATGATTTCTGGCTTACCGGTTTCCGCGTCAATAAACGGCGCCGTATGCTGCGTCGATAGCGCCAGAACGATCTTCTTCTGCTTGGAGAAGGGAGACAGCGTGATATTACTGCGGAATGCAGTTATGTTCGAGTTGGTCGCCCGGTTGTGGCTATTGGTCATCTCTGGGAAGCAGCTTCCGGTCCTTGTTGACTCTTGCATGTTTTGTTTAGGACTCTTGCAAGACTCTAAGCGTATGCTGAGTGGACAGGCACGGGTTAGCCCGGATGGGGCAAGGCAGGGCCGAACACACGTCAGCACTCACAACTCAATGTTTTGCATATCCTTTAGCCTCGGCACGAACAAGATTACTTGGGCACGACGGCCTTAGCACGTCATATCCCCTCTCGGTACGTCACAGTCTGTTTCCGTGCAATCGAGGATGGCCCTGGTGCCCTGAAATTTCGAAAAATACTCAGGGGTCGAAGTTTGATTTTTCCTCACATATGGCATTCCACCACAATGCAACGCACCCAGGTGCGTTGCACCCAGGTGCACTGCAGATACCGTAGTGCGGAATACAGTGGTGGCACATGCCTCTGAGACACCAAACCTCACCGCCAGATCTAAGTTCATCGGGTTGTGACGCAGCTTATACAACATCAACATGAGCTGATCTTCCAGCTTCAGATTCTCTACCTGCCACCCAAACACACACTGAAAGTCTGCCTTTTCCAAACACTTAACCAGTAATTGAAAAGCTTCAGTAGGAACACCTGTGTAGAATACCACCAGGGTCGGAGTTCCCTCGATCTGAGCAAAAGTAAGTCTTCTCGACTCGTAATCAAGGCTAGCCCTCTCAACTTCTTCCAAGTAACTCGGCGGTGGTAACCTCTTTGAGTCACCCACGGGCGAAACGGTCGTCGATTATGAGTCTGAAACTGACAAAACAAATGTTTATTGAAATGAAAATTAGACTGAACTAAGATAATTTAGTTGTTGCAAGCACGCAGAATATGAGACCTCTGTCGCACCTTGCCCGCGGTTCAACATTGGGATGATTGTGCTATTAACTTGCACCGCGCTCAATATGAAGAATACCGCCGTGGGCCCGCGGCGTAGCGACGGCTTTCCGATGTAGCGCTCGATCGTGGCGTCGATCACGTTGATCTTTGATCAGTGTTCATTAAAGGGACACTCCCACCTTAACATTAGTTTTGAGTTGAGATAGCCAAATTGGTGGCCATGGCCTGCAAATACCGGTTTGGGCACTCACAACATCGACAAATGCTTTAATTCGGAGATATGGAATTTCAAACTTGCAGTTTTCGGATTCTAAGGGGCTAGTGCATTGGTATGCCCCCTTAGAATTTGTGACGTCAGCGGAGATCTAACGATTTTTAAATCTTTTACTAAAACGTTTGGTAGCACGCGGTGGTATATGCTGCTTTGCGCGCAACAAATGCCGCACTTTCAAATAAAGTCGCTAGGAACAGCGGAGATCCCAAAAAGTAAACAAAAGTAGAAGTCTAATATCTTGAAAACCGGTGAATATTTTTCGATGAAATTTGGTAGATATTCGTTTTCGCTCTTTCTGAACCGAGCGACATCACTTTCGTGCCAGTTCATTAACTTTTTTGAAGGTGGGAGGGTCCCTTTAAGTTTATCTGGACATCTGCACAAGATGCTGAAGGCAACTCATCTGTTGCTGGAGATGAACACCAGTCGACTCCGACAGCAGCTCTCTCGGGCCTCAGCTGGCGCTGCTGCTTCGTCCCACGATGTGCAGACTGCAGCTGCAAGCAGGTCCCGAGAGGCCATGGATGCTTTCACAGTCCAAGTAGAACTGCCGCAGCTGTCAGCTTTCTGCAGAAGATCTCGATACTATCTTTCTGTGTACTGGGTCTTTTCGCTGTTCAGCTTTGATTTTCTCCTTTGCCCATCCTGCGGTTTCCGCAGAGACATGGCCAAGAAAGTCTGCTTTGTTTTGTTTATCTAATTCGGCACTAGACGAATGATCAGTTGTAACATTCAAAATATCTGGCAGATAAGTCGCATCAAAATCATGCTCTGATAGTCTCACTAACCATTTTTTAAACGACCGCTAAGATGAGTTGACTTGAAAATACATTTTAATGGTGAATGATATGTCATGACATAAGTGACATGACCTAAAAGATAAGATCGCAAAAGATCAAAAGGCCATGAACTTGTAAGGCATTTCTTTTCTGAAGTAGAATAATTTCCTTCAGCTTTGCTAACCTGTCGACTATTAAAAGCAATTGGGTGAAATTCATCACCATATTTTTGTTCAAGTACGCCACTAATGGCGAAATCACTTGCATGCGTAAATAGGCCTCCTCCTTAGCACACGTTGCGACTATAACTGCTTCCCCTGCAGGCGACGCGTAGGTACGTCAAGGCACGAGGGGATCCAAGGGCATATCCAACCCCGGGTGGAGGGAGAGGACCAGAAGGCGCAGTTGGAAGTCTCTCTGTTTCGACAGGCACAGCTGATACCCGACCTCGGCCAGATCCTGTGTGACAGAGAACCTGAGGGAGTTGTAGACGTAACTCGAGAGACCTTGGGTGAACGCGATTATGTTGGGCAGTGGCGAGGCTGGCAAGTCGTGACGTTTCGGATAGCTGGTCACTAGGAATTCCGAGGACATTTGAGTCGGTCTCACGATGCCTCCGCACATGGGGATGGGGTCGCCTAAGGTTGAATGGATCTGGAAGGAGCCGCCGTTCTGGCTACTCCGGACGAACGCTGAGGTCTGGAAGGACACTATCTCTACTTCTCCTTCGTGCAGAAGTGACGTGAGCCTCCGATCGCAAGGGGGTGGCTGCTCTGTCCAGATGAATGTCCCCCGCTGGGTTGCGGCCTTGCCATGTCCTTGGAGTAGGGCAAGGAGATACCCTCCGCCACAAGCCTGGAGGTGTCCGGGAAAGCCTTCATCTTGTGGGACCGGATTTCCAACACTCCCATCTGGATCCTGGTATGGTTAGCCTAGCAAATAATGAAAAAATCACAGATAAACGAATGAATAATGCTCAAATCTCAAACATCACAAATAGGAAATAATGTTCATTTTAAAAGAGCAGCATGCCTGGCTGCGCGCTCCTTTTGCAGATCAGCTCGTCACTACGCAGCCGTACTCCGTTCCGCTGCCGCTCGACCGCGCGCTCCTTCATGGAGATCGACACGGCGCCGATGCTGCCGTTCTTGATCCAGCAGATGCTCCGCCTCCCGCTCTGCATCAGCCGTTGCGGTGCGACGCTGACGCTGCCTCTCTCGAATCCTCTCCTGAGCGACCTCCCGCTCCACCTCCGTCTGCTCCCCGTCAGAGTTGTCGACGTTACCGACCGCCACGTCCGGCGAGCTGGGCCGCCGCCGCCTTCTCTTCGCTTGGCGGCACCCCGCGGGAAAGGCGCAGAGCCGGGGCCTCACGCTGGGCCGGGCGATGGTGCTCACG